TTTACCTCACGCTTCAGTTTCATTTAATGTTTTCCTTTTATCGAGGTGATGTTTCCTCTCCTGGATATTTTCACGTAGCAGCTGTCGGGGTCTGAACAATATTTTTCTTTCTTATAACGTCCACAACCCAAAATTTACAAAAATTATAAAATTGTAATTGAAATATTGATGTCGTTTAAGATCGAACCATAGTAAAGGCCTTGTATGAATAAAGAATACTAAAAACTTTTGTCACCTTCAGTGCTAATGAAGTTCTGCTGGTAAAATGGCCGAGAGCGTAATAATAAGCATCTAACTAAGATAGAACGTATTGCGTCGTACCTTCTGCAACGTTCCTCAGCCTGAATTTTGAACGGCGGGTGTTGCGACTGTAAACATAATTTCCACTCTAAGGGACTTTTCACGTTGAAAGATAATTGCGTTTGTTGTTAAGCAACTTACCTTCGATTTAAATCCTACCGCTGTTCCCTACAGCGACGCTCTTTTGTATCTCGAGCTTTGTTAATCACTGATTGCAGACAACCCATTCGTACCCTCTACGCATGTCCAAAACACTTAAACTTCTCTATTTTCTTATTTACATCACAAATCAGTCAAGCAAAGAAGTGACAGAATTTTCGCGATAACTGTCGAACTGTCTGAATCCCCTTTTTAAACCCGATATTGTCGCAAATTCCTTTGGAATTTCGGCCGGCTGTAGCAATAGACGATCACTCTGAACAAAGTAAAACGGAAATCATTTAAATGTAAATTAAAAGATCATTATAACTACTCGCATTTTCAGGACAAGCTTACTTTTTTTCTAGAGCTCGTCATTATGTGAACTTTATTCTTCAGCTGTCATGGGAGTCTGTGTTGCTACTGTCAAGGAGCGCGTGCTCACACTTGACTGGAATCGAGCCTATGAGTGGTCAAGAAAGTATATCGCTGTATTACATCGCTATGTCAAACCCGCTCTTAATCTTTAAATTAGTACTTTTTTTCTCGGTGCTCAAGTACATTGGTTTACATTTTTCAAATTTACTAGTTTCTTCGTGCAAAATTCACAAAGAAAATAAGTTTTGATCAGGTCAGAAGTAACTTTCTGCAAGTAATTGATGTTCTGTATTGATACCAACAACTGGTCATGCATGCAATGAAGACATATTGCATTTTTGTACAAACTAATTGCGATTTCGAGACGCTAATCCTGCACATTATTGGAAGCTGGTTGGGATAATATATATTTTCAACGTGGCAAGTATCATGCGGTTTAGGAATAAGTTTTGTATCTCGATCCGGCCATTATGGGATAAGTGAAGGTGTAAACAAATTAGTTTATACCTAGTGAAAATTTCTCTCAGCGAAGGTATCCATGGCGGCAGTTTCTCGAGTACAATGTTTTAGAGCCATATATGGCATTTAACCTCGAAAATTAGCAAATTTAGAAAGAAATTCACTAAAAGTCGATTCACCGTAAGCTTAAGGCCCGAGAACCAACTGAATCGTGTAGTATCCAGCTTGGATGTACTTTGTCGGACACCGCTTTGAGAGTAATTTTAGGATATTGAGGTGTGAGATGAACAAATTTGATCGATTCGAACGAGGGATACCGAGTTTCATTTCGCTTGTTTGAATGAGATGCGCGTTCATTTCAATGGTCAGAATTCAGGCTTCCTCATCTGCTAAGGTGATCTGTTGAGTAAAATTTTGCCGAAATTACGAAAGTCATTCGCCTGCGAAAAAGTGCTAGCTGGAAAGTACAGTGTACAGCATTAAAAGATAAAAAAATGTAGAAGATAATCGTGTTCAATACTAGTGGAAGCAAAACACTCAGTAACACAATAAATGATAATTAGAAGTGTAAACATTATTTTCATCTTTGTTGGTACTATACTTTTTCTTGAATTCGGGAGTTTTTTAATTCGAAAGTCGCTCAAAACTTCTTTACGATTGACTTAGAAATATAAAACGAAAAGATAGACCTCGGTTTCCCTTGTCAATGATATTATCACATAGAAATTATGTTTATTTGATCAAAGGTTCTTGGCTTCGTTTCAGTATAGTGAATTTGAAGCGATACCGGTAGATGTTGGAGATTAAGAGAGGAACTAATTTTGGTGCCCCGTAAATTTCCAAATTTTTGCCACTCACATGCGACAAAAGTGAGACGACAATACCGTGAAATATTGTCGTCTGCTTCTTCTACAAAACTATAGATGTGTGGATCGAGATAATGGTGTTTAATGCTGGTATTGTGTTTTGAAACAAGAAAATAAATGAGGAAAACGTTCCGTCCCTTCAGCATTTTGGAAGGTTTACATGTTGACGAATGTTTTAAATGACTTTAAAAAGGAATGGCTTTTCAAGGCTCAAATTACCTTCCGGTTCATTGCATTGATCTTAAAGTGATATGAATCTTTATGACTTTTTTGCTCAAATTATAAAGATTTTATTTACCAGAGATATCGCGTCCTCTTGACTTGCCGACAAACGATACCGCTTTGGTTAAGGTATGTTGACTTTACATTCACCATCAGGCACCAAGGCGAAATTGACGCATTCCTCCACCACCTCAACGAAGAAAACGCTGATAAGAATTTATCAGAGAAGCTGAAGAGGACTGTAGACTTTTTAAACAAAAATTTCCTAACAAGTCGTGACGAGAACACACAACGATCAGTTTTCAGGTCAACACCATACAAAGCCAGACTATAAGAAGTCTAGCGAGAGGCATGCAACTAGTTTGCATCTCGCGAGACAGCTCATTCGACAAAAACAAATACCTTAACCACGTATTTTCTATGAACAACTACAACGACGACTTCATTAAACGAAAGAAGTATATGAAGGTTTCGCCCAACTGCACCTTCGACCCCTACCAGTTCGCCCCACCTCAACTAATGCAGCTCATCAAAAGCAACGATTTCGCTCCCACCGACTCGCCCACAAAATCTCCCAATTTTTTTCGTTACGACAGAACTTGTTTTCATTTTCGGAAAGAATTAAAAGTTTATTTTGATCAATATGCAAATTAGTTGACCGCGAATCCATAGTTAAAGGCTATCAAGTGCAAAATTCCCAGCTGTGTTTATTCAGATACGACCACACGACTTATTCAAAGCTCCTACTTTATACTGGTCTTCACGGCAGTGGCTTGACAATATTTTATGCTTATGTTCTATTTCACTCTTATGTTAACGGCAAATTTAGAGATTTTTTTACCTCGCCTTAGCCTGGAACTTTGCGCTGAACTAAAAACTTTAACATCTTCCTAAAATAATACTACTGGTAACACCTCTCGAACAACTTAGACGCTCACGAGCTACGCCACTTGATTGGAAAGAGTTACAAGCGTCATAATTATTTTAATTATCTTACTCATATCCATTAGTATGAAAACGTGTTTTGGTTACACCACCAGAGCCTTCACAGAAAATAATATCAAAAACAATCTACTGACAACAACTCTTTTATCGACTCTGCGGACCTCCGCTGAGGTTGTCGAAATGTCAGCCTCTGCCACCGTCAATAGTCTAACTCAGGACTTCTCTCAACTGACACATCAACGGATTAACGACCTCACGTTACTCTTGGGCTCAGTTTATTCAATGAACCGAATTCAAATACATCGTCCTTCGCTCAACTCTTTCACCCATGACAGTGTTTGTCAGTTATAAATAAAAAGAACTTATCTTTCACATTCATTTTTTATTGAACCTCAATCCATAACTGATTCAATTGATACACCCTCCCTAAGACCACCCATGCGATTCAACACAATACCGAACTCTGGACACACAAGAGTCTGGAAATAGGGCCAAAATGTTTATCCATTCGTGATCTTTGGTTATTTAAAAATCAGCGAAAAGACAAAAAACTGTAATGTGTTAGTTTTTTTTTTTTTTGCCAAAACTATACATCCACCGATAAAATGCAATTTAAGCTGAATTATTATCACTTTGTAGGGAAAGACGAATGTAAATTAGACTTAAATAATAATTATGGTTTATCAGAGCATTTTTCAAATTAAATTCGTTACTCTTGGAAACATATTACTTGAAAGAAAAAATAACTGTTTGATCTTGTTATCCAATGATGATAAATTTGCAACCCCTCCATGATCTGATGATTAAAATGTAAAATGATGTAGAGGCATCAGAAGTATACTCGAGCGTTAGTTTAAAGCTAATGTCCTCTCGAAACTTGCTGAGAGTGTTTTTTTTTCTGAAATGTAAACAGCTGTAAAGCTGAGCATAAATTTCTTTTCACAAACAAAAAGATAGTAATGTTGTAAAAAGACTTAAAAAAAAGCAGAGTCTAAAGGTAAGAGGGGTTTGAAAATAGCCGAAGCCACAGATAAACACTTTATGAATACCATTTTGTCAACCTGCCTCGCTGCAACTGTCGAAATTGACGGCTGAAACGTCAATTTTACGAGCAAATTAAAAATGAGGAAAGAACTCTGTTTGCTAACGTTAGTGATGAAACAAATAAGTAAGCGAGAAATTTAATCAAAATGGCTGAGTTTCCAATCAACTGCGTTTATCTGTTTGTTTTGATAAAGAGTTACCTGTCTTTGAAACAAATAAGAAGGATGTAAATAACTAGGATAGTATAGATTGAGAGTAATATGTCAACTGAAATCTCAGGCACGTAGTAGAGGAAAATTTTCAAATTAATTTCCTAGGTTACAATATGATATTCCTCTCTACAGATATCATCTTTAAATTAGCTCTAAAATTTGAAGCGAAAAAAGAAAAGGAAAGAATAAAGAGTTTTATCTGCTATAATTTGTGCCTAATGACTAACACATAGAAAAGCAATCATATGAATTTAAGCAAGATTGAAAGCATCATTTCAAACGAAAGCAAGAAACTGTCAGCTGCCGCAATTCCGATTGGCCACTCTTCATGGTACATAAACAAACACTACTGTCCCTTTTATCCAACATAAATCCAATTCCATTGTTCTTTCAACAAGAATATGAAATTCTATGCACTATTCGCACTTAACACCTAAAGAGATAACTATTCGAACAGTTGCAATCGGCAACAGCTTTTATAATCCTACCAAAACGAACGTAAACGAGGAATATGGATGACCAAAACGTTTTGAAGAAATCGTTCATTGTTGGTCTTTGCAATTTAATTCTGGTTAGTGTCTCTTTACACTAATCATGGTGCTATGTTTCTTTCGAATTTCCCATAAAAATGGATGAACCATACATCTTCCTAAGTGTTTTTTTACATGATATTCTTCTTCCTGTATGTATAGACTACCATAGATGTCAGAGGATTAGGGTCTTATTCAGGTAAGTCTCTTTAAAGTTAAGCCTCACTTGCGATTATTAATATCGACTTTTCAGATATCATCCCCAAAACTAACATCGCTCCTTATTGATTTCATTGTCTCAAGGCATTGAAAATCATTTTAGGACGAACCTAAGTTGGTCTAAATTAAATATTTTCTCCAAAATAAACTTTAATTGACATAATTACCAATTCTCTAAATTCTGTAATCTTCTTTCAAAGAGCGATACAAAACAGTTTGTGTTCAACTTCTAGAACTATATTTGCTCGAATTTTTTTGCCGAATGGCAAGTGCAAAAATAAAGCAGGTGAACAGGTGTTGGGGTTTATTTCTCATCAAAACTGTATTTAAAATTCCACTTGTTTATCTATTCCGTTTTCGGCACAAGTCACACAAAGTACGTCCAAAGAGGTACTCTAGGGAACTTACAAATACATCCGAAAGGAAATTGGTAACGTTAAAAACAGCTAGACCAAAACAGGACACCAACAGGAATGAGAACATTTCTCAAATTGAAATATTTTGTTTCAACTAGAGTTGTTCCCAGTCTTATGTTCAAGTAAATATCAAGGTGTAAACTTCTAAAAATGCCGCAAGGTCTTCAAAATTTTTAAGGAAAGGGGATGTGAAAAGGCTTAAAGGAAGATAAACCATAAAAACTGAAAAAAAATAATTCCTCAAGAAAGTGCTACGGTTTCTTACTTCCTGGGTTTCCTTACTTCCTTAACTGCTTCTGAGAAGTGTCAGACTACAGTGCTGACAAGTTTCGCGCGCGATGGACAAACATGTCGGATTTACACGCTATTACTGGGATAAGAATCGGTTCAGATTAATGATATTTCCGATATGTTCAAACGCCCGGCGTCAGGTATTGTCGCGTATCCTCTCGCGCTCTTACAGAGTAGAATGGCGCGAGATGTTACTTACAAAATGTTACGTATCGTAAGTCGTTTGGCTTTAGTTCCACTTTTTCTTCAAGCTAAGGCTTGTTCAGCAATTGTATGTTTACCAAAAAAACAAGTCCAATTTTGTTATTTTTACTGATAATTCTTCATAAAAATTCGTCGTAGGCAAGTTCATCATTCTTATTCCACTCAGTTCTACCTCTTCGCATCCCTTCACGTTGACTCTGTTTCGATATAAGTGTCTTCACCCTGATTTCACAGTGCACATAGAACTGAGATAACAGAGCGAGAAAAAGTTCTGTATAAAAGATTAATTTGGCCGTCGAGTCTCGTTTTTCTCACGTGCATATAATCGCCATAATATTTTGTACTAAAAAACATGCCATTGTTTGTCGATTATATTTTGCCTTGATGTTACAAGTTGCGTTTTAAAATTTAGCGATGTTGAGATCAGAGAAATATATAGATTTAGCCAAGCCTAAAAGCGGAGCTCGCATTTTTTTTTCCCGCACGTCTCAAGGGCACAACGCCTTGCCCCGGCCAGGACTAGAACCTGGGTCGTCCGACTTGGAGCCCAGTGCATTGACCACTGGACTACTGGAAAAAGCCGTGGCGTTGGCGGGCCCGCGGTACAGTTGACCACGCATGTTAAAAGTAGCACCTTGTACGGTCGTACGGTCGTACATCCAAATTTTTTCGGCTTGATGGGTTACTACTATTTTGTATAATTATGGGGCTACGCTCTGCGAGCTCCGCCATGAAGAATCTTGGTATGGTAAACCTGCGTGTAAGTGTTTAGTGTGTGTTTTCCTCTGTTTAATAGCTATTCACGACAACGTCGAGTTCATCTTCTACAACAATGATACTGCCAATTGGGCCGATGGTCAGGAAAGATGCAGTCAAGATGGAGGGCATCTTGTTACCTTGGAGACCATTAGAAAGTGGGAGTTCATTTCCCAAGAAATTCAAAATCTTTCTAATCCAAGAGATGACGAGTGGTATATTGGCTTACATTTGAATAATAAAACTTGGACATGGATTAATGGTAAGCCAATGAACAAATCAACTTTGCTCTGGCAGCCGAACGAGCCATCAGGTGATGGAACGTGTGTGGTCATTGCAAAGGATTATCCACCACAAACGTACGGGAAGTATAATGACTTGAGCTGCGAAACGATCAAAGGATTCATATGCGAAGTGAGGTTTCCCACAGGTAAAAAAAATTATACAGTTGATCTAAGAACTAACTGAATTGTTGAGATGTTATTAAATTCTTCCAGTGGGGGGGCCCGGAGGGTCTGGCCCCCCCTTCCCCTCTGAACTGTTTTTTTCGTTTTTTTTCACAACTTTTCTGGTACCAAAATTTTTGCAATGACAGGAGCGAACACTACTAATCCATCGACTGATTTCATTTTCTCTCTCTCCATCTCGCTTACGCGTTGGTGCTAAATTCTAGGTGTCTTTTGAGAAAGGGGGAGGGGTTACTATCTATCGTGCAATCTTTTTACCAGGGGCAAGAAATGGATGTTCCAAGCATGCATCCTTTACGAGTGGGAGTCAAGGGCCTAAATGCATAGTGATGTACACGCCGATATACACTCTATAATGCTGCGTACAAGTAGCGGACAGTTTACGTATCCAATATCAATAATTTTTCGATAGTTATGATTTCGTTTTCTCTCATTTCATTTTCAAAAGAGAGGGATGTAAATGGACAATACTTCAGGTTTAAGTATAATTTTGAATATTGGAGTATCCATAGCAACTTGCGATCGTCTTTTCAACATTTTTAAATTGTCATACGAGGCATACAACAGCGAAGGGATTCCAAGTAGATTATAAGCAGGGTAAACTATACCCTGTATATACTTGGCATCTTCCTTTAATCTTTACCTTACCACGTTAAATTTCGCTCCCTCGCAAAATAAACACAATTGATATTAGAGAGATTGCAGCTTGCGAAGCGGATTTGCTCATGAATTGAAGGGGTTGTGGAAATTCCTTGCCACACGGATCCTGATTTTTTGTATCTGTCTCGTAAGCCTCGGTCAGTGTAACACATGAGTATTCCAAGTAAGGAAAGAAAAAAAAAACAAAAACAAACTTTGTGTTTGATGATTTGCCGGTATGGAAATTAACTAATTTAGCCACAGCTGACCCAAGCTTTGACGGAAAAGAGCATGTGCGTAAGTAGTATGTGTCACGACTTATATAGATTCGCCCTTGTTTCGCATCAACAACCTGCACATCATTCCAAAAAGCTTTCCAAAAATTTTAAACTCCACGATTCCAGGAAGAGTGTGATCGACTGGATCAAAATTAACGTATGTAGCCACAGGTCTTCAGGCTCGTGGCATATTCATCTCCGTCCAAGGTTTACGTTACGCAACAATCGATATTCTTCTCTTACTTTGCCTTAGTTAGGATTATCATTCAAGTTGTTTATTTATGTTAAAAGAGCTTCATATCCTCTAAATCGATTTTTGGATTTTTTGGCACTTTCGTGTTTAAAGTCATCAGTTCTCAGCATGAGTGGAAACGCGATTGTAAAAGGCTACGTGATGAAAATTTTCCTCCATTGAAAAGGGATTTGAGTCTGATTTATCTCATCGAATATTATACGATCTGTACCATTATCATATCACGTAAACGAGCCGTCATTGAAACAATGCAATTAATTTAGATATGAGTATACCAAGCTGACTTACAGACAGTGCATGCAACACTAACGAGAGCCGAAAAAGAGTTTGAATAACCTCATGATAGTTTTGACAAAAACATTTTGACTTCTTAAATAAGCACATTAATTCAAAATGAACAAGAAAAGATTGAAAAAAAAAAAAAAAAGAACTGGCAGGAATATTTACTTTGCACAATATTTTTGTTGAACCGTCAAACTAGGTGATAAACGGTATCTAAGTGTAATCTATGTCCGTTGTGCTTTGCAATATTTCCATTATAACTTTGCAAGGGATTATCACTCCTCATTGTGTATTATATTTTGAACACGAACGAAAAGTCATGCAAAATACATTCATGGATTAGAAACTCGTTGGAAAAACTTCAAGAACAAGTGATTACACAAAACATTACCACATTTACAGAAAACACACAAAATCAGCAAGATCTTGATACGCGATTGTAATTTCCGAGATGCACTTTTGAGCTTAAGTTTTGTGTTCCTTTTTATTTATCTCAATTTGCCTGCCTATTGTTATTGTCTCCTCTGTACGTAACTAGCCTTTTCTACGATTCCAACGGCTTTCCATGGCAAGATAAAGGGTCTGAAGAGTCTTTTCTGTAACAATCTGTCATTGTTAGTCAATAGACGCAAGTCAAGCCAGCTTTATTTATTTTTTTGTATAGCTTTACTCGTCAATAACCCCTAGGAACAATGAAGGCAATTGTTAGCTTTTTTTCTGCGCCCTGAAAACCATTACCGATCAGAAAAAGTAACCGCGACTCATATTTCAGTTCTTCCATCTAATAGTAGTGGCATTGCTGGTCTCAAAGGTAGAGTAGTTAAGAAGAAAATCAACATGCAACAAGAGAGCCGTAATGGACAGTTCATTAGTACAATACTTGCTTCGCTGATGAAAAGCTAACACCTTGTCACATTCGCAGTAATCGGATTGGCTGATGGGCAGATTGGCGCACGCTTAATACAAATATCTAAAAATTCTGACAGGCAGATGGAAGAACAAGACAACGGGAAGCGAAGCCTTCTTGCTGATGAGAAAATTTGTATCAATGATAAAAGAAGAAACTAGAAATGAAATTTGGAGTTAAAATCCACGTATAAAAAATGAAAAGCCGCGATTTCCTTTTCATTATCTTGGCTCAGGTCAGTAGATAATACTTATGAGAAGTAACAAAATGAGCAAAGACTTTACTTCATCCTGCAGAGATCGACTTAACTTTCTTTTGTAATCTCTGATAGGTAATTTTACCTTTCTCGTCTTCGACAGAAGGTAAGTGCTTTATTTAAGAACCGCGAATACACATTCTCGCAGGCCACCTTTTTGTACTTTGCCACGGCGGCCATTGTACCTATCCTAAAACTCGTCAAACTATCATTTCCTTCGCACTGTTCGGACGGAATATTGGTGACTTTAAACAGAATGTTATAAGTCTAGTAAATCCACGGTGAAGAGCAGTCAAGAAGAAGAATAACAAGCATAAAATTAGTCCAAATCTATCGAAAATTAATCTGTTTTTCACGGTCGCATTTAAATAAGTAACTGCACCTCCAATTTTGTTCGAGTCAAATTTTCTTAATAAACGTAATTTAACAGATTAAAGACTACGAGATAATGAGCGGGTTTTTTAGTGTGGCTTCTCTTAGCACTGAATTGGATCTTTTCAGAGGACACGAGTCGGGCAACAAAACCAACAAAATTTTATTTTTCTTTGGAAAATTGTCGACATGAATCATCCGTTTTGCTTGCTGACAGTTAGGACTTAAGGAGATTTAATTACTACACTGAAAAACAAAATTAGAATCGGAAGCGAAATACGATAGCAATTTCAATTTATCATAAATTGGTTTTAGCTTAAAGCTTGTGAACAGATCGCATAACCTACTGAAAATTCTAGCATCATTTGCGAATTTCGTTTTCAACTTTAAGTTTAAACCACGCTTTTCAGTACCGTGTTTACAGATCTCCTCAAAGGAGATCTGTAAATAAAAACAAAAAACAAACAAAAAAACCTTACTAATCTATCTAAAAATGGACGAAACTTTAGTGATGGTTCTTATAGACTTGAAGTTTGAAACGTCATTAGACCGGAATCTTCCATCATCTCCTGTCGCTCGAATCTAAACATGTCAAGCTAAGCAATGTCTGAGTAATTAAGATTACACTATCAAAAAGTATCTGGTAAATTAAAATTTCGAAAATTTCCGTTCAGAGATCACACTATATATTAATCTTGGACACAAAAAAAAAAAAGCGAAATGAGGCCATGTCGTGCTTCTTTTATTTATAATCAACAAGCTCTTAATTCCGAATAAATTGTTTTTTATTTCAAATTTTCAGAGGATGGAGGATTAAAATCCGTTGCTCATGGTCGTTTAAATTATGGCGGCCAAGTCTAAATTAATTGAGTTCTTCATTACGTCTTATCTTTTAATTGAATATTTCCTAATCTTACAATTTGTAAGTCGATTCTAACAAGTTAAATATAAAGATGCCTTTTTATCCTATCACAATCGGCTCGTTTTGTAAATAAAAATGATTTATGCATCACGAAGCTCGTGGGTTAAATAAAACGACGTAGAAATAAAATGACAAAAATAAGCAGAAAATATTCTTCAAGTTATCTAATGGCAAACAACGTACGCACGATAGCTAAGATTTTCATTAATTCTTCTTTTTGTGGAACAAAAATGATTGCTTCTAGCTACCAATATTACAATAGACGTATTGACTTGAGTTAGATTCTCAAGACTGATGTATAATCTTTTAATTCTGCTAGTTTGCTTTTTTCCGCTTTGTTGCGAAAAGCGCGGAAAAATTTTTCGGATTGTAGTTCGTATTGCAGAAAGCTGGACCGGTTCACAAACGCACGATTAGCCAATCACATTCTAGCATTTAGGATTCCGACCCACTGAGATGTTTCAGAGAAAAATTAAGAGACATTTCATCCTTATTAATTCTTCCTTAGAATCATTCTTTATATTGACCCCAGGTCCTGACCTAGTTTTGGACGAAAAATGGCTGAAAATCAGTGGCGACGAGATCAAGGACCTGACTTCTGACCCTCGCTACCCTGACAACGCCACTGAAAGTGGATATCGTTCTCTCTTCAAGGATAATCATCTGAATGACGTTTACTACAACCATGGAGCACGATACCGTTCATATTTTCAAGCACAGGAGACTGGAAACTACACCTTTTACACGTTTTGTGACGACAGATGCCGCTTGTATCTGAGTAGCGACGTCAATCCCAGATATAAAAAAACGATTATTAATCAAACTAAACTTGTATCCTACGTAAACGAGAGTAACTGTTGCAGGTATAACTACTTTTGTCTTTTTATTAAATCTACGGCTGGAGAACTAGGGCTAGAGAACTAGCCCTAGAATTATAACCAGTTTATAACCTTTTTTCTGAATACATATACTAAAGGGGAAACACAACATGAAAGATAAACAACGATCTCGAAGTGATTCCCAAATGAATGTATCTTATTTTTTGTGTACTCACATCTGCTTTAGCTATCGAAAGCTTGCAATGAATGCTGATAGGAGATGTAAACAAAAACAAAACAAGTAAAACAATTAACTTTGAAAGAGTGAATTTAATGCTCTCTCGCATAATCCTAACATCAGTTTCATTTTGTTTCATTCGAAGTCAAGTAACTTGAAAGAATTAGTTTGATTACATTCGTTGTTTCTCAACTCGTTTCATACAAAGTCAAGTGAATTGAATGAATTAGTTTCACGGCATTCGGTGTAAATTTAAAATCATTTGTACTGAGCTTCGTTTTCTTACACGACATTTGCAGCGATTTAGAAGATGTGCAAATATCTCCTCCTCAATATCTGGAGGAGTCACGACTCCACTACATAGAACTTTTGTTTACGCAAGGCAAAGGGAATTCGAGGATGTATGTAGCCATGAGAACACCTAGTGGCCAGATGGCATTGCCAATTGAAAGCGAACATTTGGTGAAACAGGTACCCCTGTACGGTAAGTACTACTAAATTGAAATGTTTATCTTCCTTTTCATAGGCTTTTATTATAAGGTCGTCAACCCAGAGAAAACAAACATATCATTAAGTTTACTTCCAAATATCCTATTGTTTATTAACTAATGCTATAATTAGAGTTCAAATGTTTCTCAATTTGAAAGCAATTGGTGAATGTAACACAAAATATCTTGACATTGACATAAGAGCTCTTGAGAAGATAAGGCGCACCACTTAGACAGGAGGGACATGCCCCTCCCCTCCCCCAAAGAAAAGACTCAAGGATCGGTATGATATTTTAACAATGTACACGCTTACCAATAAGAGGGATCCATGAGAGGACAATATTATTATAAAAAAACATTTAAGCTGAGTTTACTTATAATCCAGCCAACTTTCCTAGATATTCCTGGGGATGGTTGTAAGACGGAAGGAGATCCGAGGTATCCCGATTACGTACATTGCAAGGCACTTTCGGATACGCAAAAGGTATGAAGAATCAAAAATTTAACTCAGTGATCCACCTCACAAATATGAACTGAGAACCATCTATTACATCGCAGGTGGACCGTGCAATTTCTTTATTAAGAGATTTGAGGTCTCGTGTGAACGACAGAAGTCCTACTGCTGATTTTTTCCGTTCGGTGATGAAGGTAGGACAAAAAGACATCATAATAGCATTTCAATTGCTCCTCAATTTCTGCTTTTCTCAAGAAGGCCTCATGAGTATATTTACTTGTGTGCTTTAAAGCAGTCCTTATGTCTTCTGTAATAAGTCTTACACTTGACTGTCTATTTTTATTTGCTTGTCAGAAGCCATTATTTGAAAGTGTGAATTTGCAACGTAATCTCGGAGATTTAGGAAAATAGTAATCGTCTTCATGGAGAAAAGTAATTATAGCTGATTGGGACGAGTTTCCATTTTTTAAATTTTCTCTCATGTATTTCTTATGCTTCTGCGAAAGTTAATTTACGTGTATTCTTTTCGTTTCTTCACTTATTCATTTATTCGCCATTACTTTCTTCATGTAACTTACGCCTCCCTACATTTTCCACATTTTACGTCCTTATAATTGTTTGTATTTCATTTTTGGTTCTGTTTAAACCCCTTCCTATATTCCTCTCAGCATTTGATAAGTTTTTTGTCGCGTCGTATCTTTGTACATATTTTCCCAGCTAATCTTTTTTAGTATAATTTGGGAGGGTCTTTTTCCTGCCTTCTAGGAATTTACTTCTACTTCACACACTAAAATAAAATGGTTTAAACTCTGTGTGGCGTGGTTTCTTTACTTGTGTGACCTGGCCTCTAGACCTGTGTGACCTGGCTTAGGTTCTTCAACTATTTCAGATTGTAATAAACTTCTAATCATTATAATAAAATCAAACCCACACAGACCGCTGGAAAGAGGACAAGTGATCTGCTAGAAGATCTAGATAACATTCGTGTGAACCAGAACACTTCTGAATCAAACCTTGGTTTTACAATCGCCAGAGAGGTTGAACGTCTCGGAGAAAGCATCGCTTCTCGTGTGAGCAAAGATACACCAGTGATAGCTGTTAATTATTCAAGTTTAGGTACACACTACTGCATAGTTTTCTACGTTTTTTTAGACTTGTGTATTAATAGTTTGCTGATAAGGAATAAATATTGCATGGAAATCTGAAGCAAATTATTTAATATCAACAGTAAACTAGCTCTATGAAAGCTATATGATAATTAACTGAGAAAAACATATCTTTTCTTTGATTTCGGTAAAATGTGGTGAATTTTGCTGAACTTTAAACACTGACAGTATATCTCTGTGTTTAAGATATGAAAGCGGGTTATGGAAATCTGGACGCTTCCTTCAAAAGCTCTACACCTTCGAGTAATTCTGAAAGCGAAAACAGCATAACCATATCTCTGGGAAATTCAACACGAGGTAATTCAGTCATTACTGTAATCTTAAGTTTATTGTTCCTGAATGTTTATTGTTATAAAACAACAGCAGGGATTTTATTGTTTTAACAGCTACCACATCTCAAAGATTAAAAGCTATTAAAGGCTATATCGGCGCATTTAGGTTTCCATCAACAAAAGTTAAATTCTCAAAACGCTCATAAACACTTCTCTTACTACCTCTAAATTACAGTCCAAGTAAATTGTGACGTAACATTTGATGAAGAAATTGCTTTTCCTCCTACGTGATTGAGAATTATCGTTTATTATTAAGAACACTTTGCAGTCAAACGACTGAATTACGTGAATATGTACAATAAAATAAGACGAATATTAAAAAATATACATAAATATATATATATATATATATATATATATATATATATATATATATAATGTACTGTGGCTAATAACAAAACTGTCTCTAAATCTGTTAGTCTTGCACACGGGTGCGGTAAAGGTGCGACCAGATCTTAAGTTGTACATCTGTAGGGAACGTGTTGTAATTCTCTCATCTAATCATTTTTATAGGACAAGATGGAACGCGATTCTTTGCTGCATTTTACAGATCATTAGAAAAAGTTCTTCAAATGAATATCAGCCACGTATACAGGTGGGGCTTACTGACTCGAAATATTTTTGCATTTAGTGGATCATTTATCGAAAAGCATCAGTTAGTGCCTTTTCTTTCACGGATTTCCGGCATAAAGGTGGGAAACGCCTTCAGAAAGGCTAATTACGTTAAACTTATGATGTAAGAGTTAGTCATCAACCACATGCATAGACAGGTGTCACAGGACAACCCTTACACGGAAAGTAAAACTAACAAACTGTTTCCACTTAATGGAAAGTGCGAGAGGCCCCTTGTGTTTTAAAGTTTTCATATGAATCATACATAAACATAAATGAATTTTTTTTCCTTACGACAGCAATGAATCCAGCCAGCAAGTGCCCCACTTTTTGAACAGCAAAATCATATCAGGATTGATAATCCCTGATTCAAACAAGTCTTTCAATGGCCAAGTTATCATTCGATTGGAGCACACACAGGTTGATATTTCAAGCGTGTTACAAGTATTTTTGACGAACAGTTCTGTCGATACTGTTTAATTCCCATTCCTGATTCTAGTACACGTGAAGCGTAAAAGCTAAGAGGTAAAGCGATAAGCTGCAACTTAAGTGATCTACGTTTTCTGTTAAAAAAAAGAGTACCAATGTAAATATGAGCTTAATATCAAAACAAATAGATCATTGTAACCGATTCATTCTAACCAAGAAATCAAAATTATAGATATTACAAATTAATCAAAGTTAGAAAGTTATTCATTTATATGGGTTTTTTTTTTAGGAAGTTCGATGGATGATAAGTAGAATGATTGGAAATTAATTTTGGTAAAACTTTAAACGAGAGAGAGTTGCCATTACTAACGCCTAAGAGAGAGACGAGAGTCACGAAATATCCTCTACAACTTACTGATTGCTCAAGACTTACTATTTCATTCTTGTTTTTATGATACAAGTTCAAAAGCTCGGAGCATATGTCTATGGAGTGTGCTTTTTGGAGATTTCCAAAGGGAAACTCAAGCAACTCATCGGGCTACTGGTCGATTGATGGATGTAACAAGGACGAGGGGCTTTCAGACGCTGAGGCCACAGTGTGTCGTTGTAACCACCTTACTCACTTTGGCATACTTATGAGAGTCTCTGATGATACACAGGTATCATAACTTATTGTACTCCTTTATGCAGGAGCGTATATTATGTAGGTTGCCATGAAATTTCTCTGAGTGAATCAAAATCCCTATCACAGTGAATGCTATCTACTATAAATGCTTACTGAGACGACATTTTAGCAATTCTACTTCGACTTCTCAGTTGTCCATTTAGTCGCTCGCTCGCTATCTGTCATTCATTCATTTATTCATTCATCCTGTCAGTCAGTCCATTGGTCAGTTAGACTGCCCATTGGTTAGTTAGTCTATCCGTTGGTTAGTTAGTCTGTCATTCTGTATGTCTATCTGTCTGCCAATCTGCGTCTTTGTGTTTGCTTGTCGGTCAGCCTAGATCTCGTGTGTGTCTGTGTCCATGTCTCTTTGTCTGTCGGTTGTTTTTGTGACATTTGAATGCTTCTTTTCTTAAATTGATCCAAACCTCAAAACATGAAAACTCTCCAAGGTGTATTAAGTATTCAGCGGTGTCTACTTGCACAGGTAACCCAGCCAGGTCAGCCGCACGTTCAAGCCTTGCAACTTATCACATATATTGGTTGTGGTTTATCGCTTTTAGGAGAAATTCTCACAGTTGTTGCGATCATATGTCTCAAGTAAGTTAACGGATGCAACTTAAATAATTTAGTTAGTAAATTGTCTTTCACTTTGTGTTCCGTGACAGAATTCTGACTTTCGAAAAAAAATTGGCACCACGTAATATCCTGGCGAGATAACAATTTGATTGCTGTACATATTTTGGCAGGCTGACTAAATCCGAAACAAGTATAATTCATCTGAACCTCGTCGTGGCGCTGGCAGTTTCCCAGATCACTTTCCTGACAGGAATCGAGGCCACACAGAACAAGGTGATAGCGATACTGGTTTTCTTAATAATACGCTTAATGATCTGCATAACGACTTACCATCTAATAGGATGAAAGGAATGAAAAACAGAGGAAATTTAAGAGGGCAAAAGTGACATAGAAATCTAAATGATTAAACAAAGAGCGATGCTCTGTTGCACTCCGATGTCCTATTCAGCACTGATTTCTAATTGTATAAAACATTACTCAGTGAACTTTTCGAGTCCTTATTAATATCTCATTATTCACACTACCAACCTAAATTAAACCTAACATAATTTTTATTGCTGGTATTAGGCAGCTTGCAAGATCGTGGCCGTCCTTCTTCACTATTTTAACATTGTCTCGTTCTGCTGGATGTTGGTCGAGGGGGTTTGGCTCTACCTGATGATAGTAAGAGTGTTTGAGACGGGACACAGCAGAATAAAGAAATACTGCGCTTGTGCATGGGGTAGGCCAATTATTGTTTGTAAACCGCTCGCCTCATCGTTCTGTTAGCTTTCTTTATCTCTAGTCATCAAACTCTTTCTTTCTTTTTATCTTTTTACTGTTGTCATTTTTCCCTTGTATGGTACGTATGTGGTTATCGGACCTCTTTATCACCACTCAATTGCATGCACTTCTTCAAAGATTAAAGGCAGATCAGTTTTTTTCAAAGTCTTTCTCGTGTTTAATTGCCAACTTTATATTAATTTTTTTTAACTCACAACAGAAATTGATGAATATAGATAGCTTTTTTAAAGTAGAAGCACGTACTGGATCTCTTTCCAAGTGAGACAGTAGTTCAGAAAACCGAACATTATGAAATGAATCAAACAGCCTATTTAACTGAGCTTTGAACTGATTTTAACAGGATTTCCATTTGTATTTGTTGTGATCACATTATCTGCAAGTTTTGACGGATATGGCACAGAAACAAGGTAAGTAAGCTTTCATTAATTTATCAATCAACGTCGGAAATAACCAGCACGCCGTTTGAATGAACAGGAAAACGAAGAATTGACACGATGAACCTCATATCCATAAACCTGCATCTCATACAGCAACAATTAGCAAAACGATCATGCTCGAAATACGTTGCTTCTGAAGTAAAAAGTTAACATCAGCTATCGTTTTTATTTGCCAAATTTGGCACTTCATATGTGTCTCTTCTCTACATTCGTTTCTTTCTTTTTTCGCAGTTGCTGGTTATCTGTTCAGAAAGGAACCATTTGGAGTTTCGTCGTACCCGTTATCCTCATTGCTTTGGTATGAAAATTTCCAATTTACCTTTTTCCGTTTCCTTTGACATATGGTGATAATGGGCTCACTTTTCTCTCTTTGTTTCCATAGGCAAATTCGATCATACTTGGGATGGTTGTTAAGGAGATTCTCAGGTTGAATCATCCAACAACAGAAAATAGTACAAAATATCAGTCTGCAAGGTAGGATGAACACACGTTGAGTGACACGGTAAGAGAGTTTTCAGTTTCCTGAAACTTTAAATTAGAAATGGACTACGTCAGGTAATTTCCACCATCTCACATCAGGTATCTACGTCTTATGTCTGTTCAATATCGTAAACCTTTCCTTTGTCACTGCTACCTTATTCCTTGTAAATTGTTGTCACTTGGACAAGGCCAGACTCATGCTCTGTCGTCACCCTTTTCGTATATCTGCAGAGGAATCTGGGAAGGGGATCAAGGCCCGTAAAGGCGCTTGATGCAATGCGAGCTCGCTAGATCCTTCTCATCGATCACTTCCCGAATAAGGAGAAGGGACTGGATACAAGTGTGGGGAGATCTAAGCACACCAATTTTATCGTAACAGGTCAGGTGTTCAGTCGGCCATTGTACTCCTACCTTTGTTGGGGATTACATGGTTATTTGGAGTATTGACATTCAACAGCGATACTTTGGCATTTCAGTATCTATTCGCCATTTTTAACTCGATACAGGTTTGTAATAAGTTTTGTTTCATAGTTTAATGCCAAATTCAAGGATATACCCTCAGAACAGGCAAGAATAACTTTAAAAAAAGGTCAAAATGATGGTAACGGATAAAGAAGATTACCCCAGTGAACAAATGGAACACTTTTCCCGAAACAAAAAGGCTACTTCTCATAACTGGACGAAAGTTGGCGAAGCAGCGTAAGACCGTCAAATCATGTTTCAACCTATGGTATTCTGCAAACTGTTCATGTAAATCTGTGATATATTTACTTCATGTTCTCATCACAAGGTTCATCGCCGTTCTCCATTCTTAAATATGCCCTCCGGGCCTGAATTTGTATCGAGATAAAGAGGAAAATATTTTTTTTCATTTTTCCAGGGATTTTTCATCTTCTTGTTTCACTGTCTTCTCAACTCTGAGGTGAGTATGCCTCCCCACTGAAGTAGTGGAAGATACTGATAAACCATCTGTAATATTTAAAAAATGATCAAGATTAAGACAGGGAGGTTATGTTCTGTTGCTTATGATAGGTGAGAAGAGCCTTTCACAGGAAAAAGAAGGTATGGTCCGAGTCGCATGACGCGTTCCAAACACATTCACTGACTCCACAAAACTACAATGACATCTCCAAGGAGACCCTCTCCACTGGAAACGACGTCAGGGTAAATGACAAAAATATAATTCATTTAAGTACAGCGAGACCACTAAGTGCATATCGTGAGGTATGTCAGCTACACAGGCTTGAGACCCGATATTTACCGCGCGAAGCGGCGGTAAAAGTCTAATTTTATAACACAAAATGCAGAACTGTTTGGCAACGAGAAGTTGAACCTTTCACCTAATCATCTGATAGCAAAAAAATTCGTTGATTGATTGACTTAAAGATATTCTGAATACGCTTATCGACTGGCAATAGGAACATACTATTACCATGACTTTTCTTCTCTCATTACAAACAACTGTTCTTATCATAGTAAAAAGGAAAATTTAAATTCTCCAACACCTTGATCTATTTCTACGTAGTCCCAATTCCCACTTGTAGTAAATACCTTCAGAACGTGCAAAGATCTATCGGCCCCACATTGGATTTCAATCGCTTTCATGTTTTTCGTTTTAGCGACCCGGGTCAGCGATCTCTGCCACGTCCGATTTGTCTAACAAACCATGACAGGTTGAGTGTCTAAGTTGCAGACTATCGTTGCTGGATGACTGGCTTGTAAAGTAGTTCAAACTATATAATTCTTAAGATTTGATTGGAAATTTCCCCCTCTGCATTGTTTTTTTAAATCAGTTCAAGGAATTTTGCTTTAGATCAAGGTAAAACTGGCTAATTTCTTTGTCGTAATGCTCCTTATATCATTTCCAGTTTTTCGAGAAGTCATGTGTGCCTACGAGCTTATCCCGTCTACAAGTGTCACAAACACAATCATGGATCATTAATCAGGCAAAAACAGTTTATCATATACGCACTTACACATATCATGATAATAATGAAACTCTCACCCCTGCAAATTCATCTCATTGCATTTACTATCGATATGAATGTTGTGCGGTAGCCACACCACCTCGACCGAAGTAATCAAATTGACAGAGATAAATGTTAAATTTGCTGACATAGTTATTGTTTGTATATTTACACAGGTGCGTGTATTTCTACCAATAAATCATTTAAGTGTTCGAATTATTTGTCAAAGGAATTGAGCTCACCCCTTAATGTGTAATAAATAAGGCAACAAAGGTATAGCTAGCCATATTGAGAAATAAATAGATCAGCATCATTAAATAAGTAGTTTAGCTCTCATTCGCGTCGAGACACTAATTGTGAACTTTACTACTTTGAGTTAAAAGGTAATAATTAGGTGACATAGCAGTGCAACATGTGGTCACATTAGTCACATGGTTTCGATGATTCTATCCGCAGATCTTTCTGAATAGTTTAAGACTTCAGTCGCGTTTTTCACTTGTTTATCGAACTCATGCTCTATTCCAACGCAGCTGGTACGCTGGGAGACTAAAACTGTCTTACTTTGGTGGTTGCGTATTCTACTGGTTTAGCAAATTGTCCTTTTTCTTCTACAGTGAAAAAGGCGTTTCATATTTTTTTTGGTCTTCTGTAAGATCACAATCTTTCAAGATAACCTGGGTTTTTATAAGACATTATCGCAGAAGATTTAAATAAAACAATCAAACTTAATCCTCTATTCTCTTCATCGTAACAATAATCATTTAATAACGTATATTTATCTGTAGGTTATGTATAGTTAACGTTTATCATTGTTTTATATATTATCAAATATTTCCCATCTTAATCTTATCTTAAGATCTTTGCCCAGGATCATGCTCGTGCGCAATCCTGGGGTGTAGTACTCATTAATATTGAATAAATATTATTTACAAACAGCACATTGTGAGTTTTTCCATCATATAAATAGCAAGTATAGAGATTACTGCGGTCATTTCTCTCCTTCGTAACAGTATGGGTCAACTAGGGTGAGAAGAATACAACACAAAATGCCACCGCATTACAGCGCTGCCGTAGTAAACGTTCGAAAATTTCTACCCTTCAAATATTTCCAAAATCAAAGCAACCAAACCAGAAGGTAAAAGTCATGAATGCGCAAAAACTGTATGCGGCGAGTGCCTCGAGAATAGCGACTCTAAAGTTTATCCGTATCGTCCTCAATTGTGACTGCTTCCATAGTACCAGTTCCTCCAACTCAAAGGTGCACCATGCCGCCTTAACAGAGGTGTCAATCAAACAATAATTAACTACCAATGTTGTAAAAGTGCACAATACTACCTTATGAAACAGGCCAATAAATATCAATATCAACAATTAATACCAAATGCAGATATATAAATACGAATCGCCGAAAACTTTGAGTGAGAGCTTGCTCTTAAAATGCCAGCGAAACCTCTGTTGAACAATAAAGTGGAGCATTAATAAGTTAATTGAATTGCTCTGAAGAACAATGTAATTTAGTTCATTTTGAACGCTTTCCTCCAATTTTTCCCAAGTGTCAATTGACTCTTGTTGGATGCAATTGGGGCTCTGTTATACATGGACTGTAGATTTGTTAATTTAACTACAACATTAATCACATTTTCGTGACTCTAATTTTTCCCCAAATTTTAAAACAATTGATGCATGGTTAAAATTGCATCTTTCATATTTTCATCAACGACGGTTGCGACTATCATTCTGTGTTCTGCGTATAAAAAATCGCAGACGAAGCGCACGCCTGCTCAATTGTACGTGAACGTGCTGTCCACGTGATTCTCCGGGTTGTAAATTGGGTTTCTACGAGCTATCCCGTCATTCTGCGGAGCGTGTGAATCGAGAACACCATTAGGTTGTTGGCCATTTGTGGTGCGTTCCTTTTTCATCATCATGATATTAGCCCGCCATTTATCTGTTGTCTTCTTGGCCAGCTCTTTTTGTTCTTCTTTCCACCCACGGTGCTTGTGATAGAGGATTTCTAAGATAATGATCACGATTCCAGCTCCTATTCCAGCAGCAACCATGATAAATACCCCTGTTTACCAACAGAAATTTGAACTTTATTTCCAAGACCACTAATAACCAACATAATATGACTGTCATCTGGGTACTAATGGCATCACAAGGCAAGTGAAAGAATAGCATTATCCTCGACAATATTGGAATACTTCACCTTCCAGGTGGCCGCTTTTTTTGTTGTTGTTGTTGTTGGACAAAACACGTCAATTGAACAAACTAAAACACGTAACACTACCACACGTATGATGACGGTAACGGTTGAAAATGTATGCTTATTGCGAGAATTAAAAGTTCGATTTGTTTACCACTTCATGTCACCAGCAACAGCTCGAACGTCAATACTTTCAATCAAAGAACAAAAACTTTGCAATCATAAATTCAACTAAAAGTACGATTTAATTCAAATGAGTTTCAGTTTGCAAGCACACTTACCAAGCATGTGATTTAGCCCTAACGTAGCAGGCGAATTATTCTGTTCATCGCATTGCTTGGTGTCGATCCACGTTGTTTCCAATTCCTCCATAACCCCGCTCTCGTGAAAGTTTAGAATAGCAAGTGAAATTGCGTTACTCCACTGAGAACCCTGTTGAAAGAAATAAGGGAAGGATTAACTAATCTCACAACACACTTTTGTAAAAGCTTCTTAGTTGAAATCTAATTCATGAAGACTGCACGTCTTTCTCATTAACAACCACTGGAGAATTGTTTCAGAGCCCCACTGACGGCTATGTTTCATAACTTGCTCTTGCTTTAATCTACCCTGTAATTGATCTTGAAAACTCGCAACACTCTGATTTGATCAGATGCAAAAACTCAACGCTACTGCGACTTGGTTACCCCTTTTCTGATTTGAGTTCTCAAAGCGGCCTTCTGAGCTCGTATTGTTGATGATTTTCCGAACTGGTTGTGGTTCTGGCTTTTACAACACTCAATCGAAAAGCGCTCAACATTTCATGAACTGACTATCCCATACAGTATCATACTTCTTTCTGTTCTCGTTCCATTCAAACAGGAAACCAATACAGGCACCTCTTGGTGTGTTTACATTTCGATAGAACAGTTTAAGGGTTCAATAATCAAGACTGGAAAGAAACTCCAACACACATAAACTCACTTTAGGCATGCCAACGCCATAACCGGACCGCCCGAACAGTTCACCAGCAGTAGTAAGGTCACAGTTTACAGAGGCTTCGTAATAAAGGACGGGTGAGTCCCAGATGAACGCCTTTAATTCCCTGCAACAAGGAAAATCGCATGACCATTCATACTTCATGAGAAACGGATTAAAAGTACACGATACAAAGTAAATAATTTCCACAATCTATCCACGTTTCTAGTTTCTTAAAGACGCTAATCATCAGCATCTGTCTACAAAGGTAAACTATAACTGTGACGATTTTCTAAAAATTGTCCTGCAATTATTACCGCTGAAAACAATAACCTAACATTCAAGTATTGCCTCGTGTAATAATGTTGCAAAAAAGAAAGACAATGTGGCCAGTTGACATAAACACAAGAGCCTCTCGCTCAAATATCAATTGTATGCACTCTGAGACTAGTTGATTGTTGTAAGATCGACTTGAATCGACTTCTCAAAGCGGGTATCTGTAGTATTCACAAATAGGAATGCCGCACAACAAATGTTGCACAATTTCTCATAACAATAAATAAATTTGACGGAGCACACTTACCCATCGTTCACTTTCTGTATGGCCTCCTTCGCTGTCTTTACATTGTATTTTTCCATAAAAGTATACATGGATGACAGCTCAACCTGCCGCCTGAAATACGCGTCAACACTGCTGTTTGCTACAGTAGCGTACTTGAAATTCACAGACGGGTTACGCAGCTGAGTTGGAAAAAATGAACATGAAACGCTGTAAGTCCTTTCGATTATCCCTTGTATTTCTTCTTACGGCTTCTTCAACTGCATATTTTAACACCTCTTATTGTTTGTTTTTTACTGGCTTTGACAAGCTGTAGAGTATGATAAGGGTTTCCTGGCCCACATATCTCGAGACACTCCTTGGGGGTCTCGCCAGTCTTACAATTCTAATACTTAAAATAATTCATCATCCCCTACACAACATATCATGTGGGTAAGTTGTTACGCTGCCTGATTACAACAGCGAAAGGTTAACATAAAAATGTACACACATGTTCTGCTAGAACAGGAAAGAAATTTTTTATGTTGCCCTCAGAGGTAAAAGGGATTTCGGGTATATATGCAGGTTCAATAACAATGACTTGTGACCTCGCCTCAAGCTACGATGTTAATGCAACTACTTTGACTCACGTTTGGATCTTCTATGCCGCTGACCACAGCCTTTGGCCGATCAAGAACAAGAAAGGCTGCCAGATTAGCAGTGTAGCTGGCGACAATGATCATTGCAAAGCCTGCCCATACCATGCCCAGCACCCGAGCACTGAAACTACGTGGAGTGCCTGAAATACGGCACACAAAAAATTGATAAGTAAGATATAATCAGCCTGTTGAACAGAAGAATGTGTTAAAATCAACGCACTGATGATGAAACTGCCACATCCACATATATGATGTCTGTAAGCAAACGTGACAAAACTACCTTGAGCGCTTCTCAAGTAATTATCAAAATGTAAATGACCAACTCCCGATTTTTTTAGGAATAGTTTTAGGTTTGATTGATGGGCAACATGACCCAAGTATGAAGTTACTGCTCTATTCAATCACCGAGAATGTACAACCAAGGTCAAATAGGAAATAAAAGA